AGTGATTAAGAAGGCCAATGGGACTATACGCATATGTGCCGATTTCTCGACCGGTTTCAATGCTGCATTAGATGTATATCAATATCCCTTACCAGTTCCGGAAGACCTGTTTACCAAGCTTAATGGCGGGACATGTTTCGCGAAAATAGACTTCTCCGATGCTTATCTCCAAGTGGAAGTAGATGAGGATAGTAGAGAGCTTCTGACCATTAACACTCATCGAGGGTTATTTCAATACACCCGTTTACCATTTGGCATCAAGAGCGCACCCGCCATCTTTCAGCAAATAATGGATACGATGCTAACAGGTATACCTGGTACAGCAGCTTATCTAGATGATGTCATAGTTATGGGTTCAACTGACAGTGAACTTTCTGAGCGACTACACCAAGTCCTTAACCGAGTGTTGGAGTATGGTTTCCAACTACGTGAGGAAAAATGTATCTTCTTCATACCTTGGTTTTATCTTAGATAAGAACGGTCGCCGACCAGACCCTGCCAACATCGAAGCCATCCAGAAGATGCCTGCACCAACTGATGTTTCTTCATTAAGATCCTTCTTGGGGTTAATCAGTCATTACAGCACATTCTTGCCTGAAATGCACCAAGTGAGAGGTCCCCTAAATGAATTACTATCGAAAGATAAACCTTGGCAGTGGTCAGCAGAATGTCAAGCATCTTTTGACAGAGTCAAATCAATGCTCAGCTCAAAGATTCTTTTGACACACTTCGATCCCAGCTTGGAAATTGTTGCATCTGATGCCTCTAGTCATGGAGTTGGAGCAGTGATATCTCACGTGTTTCTGGATAAATCAGAGAAGACAATTGCCCATGCTGCTAGATCACTTACTCCAGCCGAGCGAAACTACAGCCAAATTGAAAAGGAAGCTCTTGCAATCATTTTCGCAGTCAAAAGATTTCAAAATGCTCTATGGTCGTACATTTACTCTACTGACAGATCACAAACCTTTGATTGCAATCTTTGGTTCTAAGAAAGGAATCCCTGTCTATACGGCTAATAGACTACAGCGCTGGGCAACAATGCTCCTGAGTTATGATTTTAATATCAAGTATCAGTCGACAAATACTATCGGTCAAGCTGACGCTCTCTCCCGATTAATTGGAGTTCAACATCCTGTACCAGAGGTTATAATCATTGCCTCCACAGCAGTAGACCCAGAAATACGAAGTATAGTGGCAGATGCCATTTGAAACACTCCAGTGTCGTCAAATGAAGTCAAGGAAGAAACGCTTCGAGATCCAACACTACAAGAAGTTAGAAAGTTCCACCTAGAAGGGTGGCCCTCGAAAATCTATTCCACAGACCTTCAACAGTTTTACCAGCGAAGACTCTCTTTCAATCATCGATGACTGTCTGCTGTTTGCCGAACGTGTCATAATTCCCAAGAAGCTACAACCAGCAGTGCTTGAACAATTGCATGCAGGACATCCTGGAATAAATCGCATGAAAGCACTAGCACGAAGTTATGTATACTGGCCGCATTTAGACACCCAATTGGAGCAGCTATCCCGTTCGTGTACCAAATGTGCATTAGCAACAAAAGCACCGCGAAAAGCAGAGCTGCAATCATGGCCAATACCACAGTCACCGTGGCAGCGTATACATTTGGACTTTGCTGGTCCACTTCATGGACAAACTTACCTTTTGGTGGTTGATGCATATAGCAAGTGGCCAGAAATTTTTCTCATGGAACACCCGACTGCAAGCTGCACAGTCAGTAAACTACGTCAACTATTCAGTCGTTTTGGAATCCCGGAATTGATAGTTAGTGACAACGGAACACAGTTTACGTCCGAAATCTTCTCACAATTTTGTCGGCAGAACGGAATCCAGCACCTCCGAACACCTCCATACCATCCCCAATCAAATGGCCAAGTGGAACGCTTTGTGAGTACATTTAAAAATGCTCTGAAAAAATCCAAAGGGGAAGGGACCACTGAAGATATCTTAGAGAGGTTCCTGTTTATTTATCGTTCTACACCGAACCCTCAGACAATTAACGGGCTCTCTCCAGCAGAAGCTCTACTTGGCAGAAAGATACGTACACATTTCGATGTCATCCGTCCTACGCCAGCTATTGAACCCCAACGAAACCTATCGATGGAGAATCAGTTTAACCGACATCATGGGGCACAAAGACGATTGTTCACGGTGGGACAAAAAGTGCTTGCTATGGACTATCGTGGGAAACATCCTACATGGACAGCTGGTCGGATCTTGAAAAAGAAGGGGAATGTGGTTTACGAGGTGTCAGTTGGCTCGGAAGTTTGGGTACGTCATGCTAACCAATTGAAAGCAACTTCGATAGCCAGCAACAAGATTCAATATCGATTACATCTTGATGTTCTGCTAGACACCTTTGAAATCAAAACGCCGGGAATAGACAGATCAGTTTCTGTGCAAGAAAAGAGTGATACTTCTTTATTGCCTAGACGATGGACTAATCGAAAGCACAGGCCAGTCACTCGGTTGCAGTTGGACCCTAGCACCAGATCCTACGAATCTGCTCAGAGGGGAGGTGTTAGCCGGACATAGACCAGATTAAAACATGCTCAATGCATGATTGTTTTGGTGCACGCTGATTGGCTGGTTCTTATCCAATCAGCACTAGTCGATAGTCGGAGATTACTCTGGAATCTTCTTATGTAAAAAACTATAAATATACTGACGTTTTCCCCTATTGTGCTTCTGACTTGCTATTTGGAATATAATCTTTTTTTCCTGTTCAACCGTGTTTTGATTTGGGGACTTGTCGAGTGAATCGGTGTCCGAGAATACTAAGCAATAGGAATAGCTGGGTCATTAACCGTAAGAAGAAACAGAGTTATAACACTACGGGGTTGTTTAATCACATCCAGGGATCCAGTCTGGAAGTATTTCTTCTACCCTCGCACTCAGTGCTATGCCTACACCCGCCAGTTCACGAGAGCTAGCCATCGAGTCGCTAGATAAACGGAGGGTGTATCTCGTCGACTCCGTTTGGGCGAGGTGAGGTCAAGTATGTGATCACACTAGGACCCTGTATGCATGTTTTGAAGACACAGCATACACCAATGGTACGAGATTCTAGGTTTTTAGCCAAGGATACCTTCTGGCCGATTTCACACAAGGGACGTACGTTAAAGGCTCCAACGTGTAGTTTAGAGCGAGGTTTCATTAGACTTGAGACAGTGTTTCGCGCACTAGAATCTTTGGTCATGGTGACACTTGAGAAGGAAGTTTCGAGTTGAAAGTAAAGGTAAGAGAAATAATAGGAATTAAAGAGGGAAATCGATTATGAAAACAGTGATCTTGAGTGCTATTAGAGGTATGAGGGCGGTTATCACTTCCCGGTTGCCCACACCGTGGAAGGCTTTTCCTAGAGGTACGTGAAAAGGGAATTGGGTTAGTTGGTCTTAGTGACCTGAGTGTGTGACCGCAGTGTTTAAGGAACAACAGCCTGGGGCCGGTCACACACGACCTTTTTGTGAGTAACTGTTGTGTTGGCTCCGTACTTGTTGAGACCTTATCGCCGGAGACGGAAATCCGTGGGATAAGGCGAGGTGTGCATTTTTAGGGTCGATATTTTCTAACCCCATCCTTCGTTTGTATAAAGGGTGGCTTCGACATGCATTAGGAACTCGACATTGCGCACCATTTGCCGTCCTTGTGACCGGTTGGAAAAGCAGGGAGGTAGTCGTTGCACGACTTGATGTCGTGGTATAAGTGAAAGCTGTGCAGGACTGGCTTCTGTTGGACCTTCGCGACCCCCAGGTTGGGGTCCTACATATGGTGCAACACATTGGCTTGAGACGTTATCAGACATGACTCAGAATAGAAGCCGGTGGCAATCCTGTAGTATGTTTCTTTTACTTCATTAAAGTAAACGTAATTTCCCTAACTGAACGAATTTTTTCGGGTTGTATATATCTTGCCTGAACTGCTTTTCCCATTATTAATATTATTATTTCACTCTCATACGCTATTTTTTGTTGATTGCTGCTCTTCTTTTATTAAGCCCATCCTCCATTCTCTATCTCCTTAAAACCTCATTGTGTGGCTCATATGCATTTGATGGCCCATTGCGACAATGTTTGTGTGTTTGAATAAATAAAAGACTCGAATGGTCATAGCAAAAGCCGTCATATTGTCTTATAAAACCAAAATGATAATTTACATTCAATAAGGAATCTATATTCCTTAGGCCTTAAGTATCTACATCTGTCATTTCACATCCTCAATCTTTGATTATCTCCAGAATTTTCGCCATGCAACGCTTAATATATGTGTATCTGGCGAATTCCTCTCGAATATTTGTATATTGGTAAATTTATGGACATTCATGAATTGTAACATATTAGACTTCTCCAGTCACTCATATGCTGGCTGTCATAATAGTAGACTAGAACAGTGACCAGGGGTAAATTTCACACGTTCTTTCAACATGTGTTTGTGGTAATTAAAGAATAGCAATCAGAATAAGCGGTTCAAATTTGACTTATGGTTTTGGATTTTATTTAGTGTACTCTGTAGTTGGTCGTACGTGCGTACGAAGTTCTACGTTGTTACTGACTGACTGAGGCTTTTAACATATTATATACTCTGTCTTACGCTTTCACTATTTTCTTTCGCCTTTAATTTCCGTAATGCTCATCCTTATTTTGCGCTGCTTGATAGAATCTCTTAATTTCTGAAGTGTAGTAACTTGGGTACTACGTTATATCTATCTGTGTACTCATGTATTTTCAAACTTAAGTAAAGTGATAGGGTTCGCGTATGTCTTGTTTCGTCACCTGATAATACAAATAGCTAGGGTAAAAGACATTGTTGCTACCATCGTCCGTACTACGCAATTACATATTAAAAAAACAATCTCTTAAAATGTCACTGAATTATCCTTATTTTATGGATATAATTTATATTCATGTTAAAGAGGTAATATTGTTGCTCTCTTTTCTGTATGATCATCATGTTTCAGTTTTTTCTTATTTTTATCTAGAAACCCAGAATTATGCACTCTCTGTTCGACATTATGACTCCGAAAAAAATATGTGGGTTGTAAAACACTATCGCATTCGGATCCTTGATAATAACGGTGGCTTCTTTATTAGTATTCGCACGACCTTCCCGAATATTCAGGACCTCATAAATTATTATACAGGTATAATGTTAGATATTCCACATAATTTTATTTTTATAATTTCTTGTAACCATTACATCATTCAAACTCCGCCTGTAGCTCTTCTAGAGTCACAAACCCGGGTAAAGAGGAAGGGTTGGGCGTGGGGTCAGCAACCCCATCTCGTAGAAAACAACCTAGCTTAAAAACGCTAACCAGAATAAACAATTTAAACTATCCTGGGAGCTAAAGAATCGTTCAGAAGAATTAGGATGCCTACATTCATTTTTAGATCAAATTTTTGGCTTATCTGACTGGTGAGTCTTTGAATTATGATTTTCCTTGTTGTTTTCTCTCTCGAAACCTCTCATACACATTCTTGTCATCAAAATCCCCTAACATCAGTTTGTCTCCAGACTAGAAACAAATCTACCAAATGGCTGGATATTATGTTCAATGTAGGTTTCACTGTAACGTTCAATGGTTGTACATTATTTTCTGGCGACAATGACTAGTTTTTTCAATCATAACTTTAAACTACTGCAATCTGAGTCGATTCACTTAATTCTTAAGAGCTTTAATAATTCATTTATACAAACCAAAATAATAACTCTCATAAATATTCAAATATTCGGTATGGAAACTATTTTTCATAATACTGTGATCAATATCAAGGTGATAAATCTATAAAATCATCCATACCACTATTTATAGCATCAAAAATCACTCTTGCCAAAAATAGTCGAGTCATCAGTAATGATTTTTAGCAAAACAGTTTAATTCATGTCTATAGCTTTATATTTTTCAATGAGCCTGAAATAAAATCGACATTGTAGAATTAGCAGTGGTGTTAAATGAACTGTACGATATAGAAATTCCTGGATCTGTCTAAAGCGTATTCTAGTAGCTACTAATGAACTATTTGTCTAAGACAAAAAGAAGACTGTAAACACACATGAAGATGGTGTATTGGAACTAGATAAATAATATACAAAAGAAATATCTTTCCATACAGGTATGATATCCGTTGCTTCGATATATGATGAATTCAGTGAGGCTGGTCTATTTAAGAGTTCCTCGAAGTGTTCTATCCACCTGTTCCGCTGTTCTTGAATTTCAGTGATTGACTTGCCTTCTTTGTCCGTGACTGGTCATTCTGGCTTATTATATTTCCCTGCCAGTTTCTTCGTCGTATCATATAGTCGTTTTATATCTCCTTTTCTTGCATCTTTTTCCGTTGTCGTTGCTCTTCCACGCATTGCTAATTATCGACTCTAATGATCCTCTTCACTTTCTCGTTTATTTATGTGTATTTATCTTGTTAATTGACTTTCTCTGTTCTTGTTCAACTGATGTCAATCACTTTTATTGGTCACCAGTAGGAATCAATCTATCAACCGATATACTTAACGTGGCCTAAGGTATTTTTCATGACTTCTTCAATTACTAAGTACAAACATTTATTCACTGCTTCCAGACATCTTTGTTCCAATGGTTAAGCAGAAAGTCTTATCAAAACTATGTAAGCTGTTATCAATCACATTCCGCCTGTAGCTCTTCTACATTTACTGTAGGTCCTAAGCCTGAGTAGAGAAGGAGGGTTGGGTGTGGGGTTAGGGATCCCATCCCGTAGAAAACACTCTCTAAAAAAACGCTAACCAGGAAAAAACAATTCAAACCATTTAAACTCTGCCCTGGGATTCAGAATGTCTTCATTTAGAACAACTATGACGCCTCATGGTAAAAGCCTAGTTCCTTTGGAAGTCACAAAGCCGATGCCCCTTCTAACAACCTAAGCAACAATTTTTATGGGTACATGGAACGTCCGGACAATGTGGGAGACTGGGAAGACCAGTCAACTAGCAACGGAAATGAGGAGATACAACTTGGCAGTACTGTGAATCAGCGAAACCCATTGGACCCAAGCTGGATAAAAAAGGCTAGATACGGGAGAGACGCTGCTATACTCAGGTCACGAAAAGGAAGATGCTCCACACACTCAGGGAGTTGTTCTAATGCTGTCCAAAATAGCACGGAATGCACTTATGGGATGGGAATCTCATGGATCCAGAATTATCAAAGAAGGAGGGGATTACAATTAATGTTATCGAATGTTATGCACCCACCAATGATAGCGATGACGTAGATAAAGATCAGCTTTACGATAGGCTGCAATCGATCACAGCGAGGTGCCCAGGGAAGGACCTGACCATCCTGATGTGAGATCTAAACGCCAAAGATATCATGGGACGACATGGACTGGTAGAGAGAAACGAAAATTAGGAAAGATTTGCAAAGCTGTGTGCATTCAACAAATTGGTCATAGGCGGAACAATATTTCTACACAAACGTATACACAAAGCTACACGTACCTGAACTGCATCATCGATAAACAAGGAGAATCAGATGCAGACGTAAATGTGAGGATTGACAAAGCATGAACAGCATTCCCACAGTGGAAGAACATATGGAACTCAAAACAACTGTCAACCAATATCAAAGTTAGAATCCTCAATACGAACGTCAAGACTGTTCTAATTTATGGAGCTGAAACTTGGTGAACTACGACAACCATAATCGAAAATGTACTAGTCTTTATAAACAATTGTCTGTGTAAGATACTCAATGTCCGTTGGCCGGATATCATCAGCAGCAGCCTTCTGTGGAAGAGAACAAGTCAGCTTCCAGTTGAGGAGGAAATTAGGAAAAGACGATGGAAATGGATAGTACACTCATTGAGGAAACCATCAAACTGCATCACGAGACAAGCGCTGACTTGGAATAGTGAAGAGAAGTGGAAAAGTGGAAGGCCAAAGAACACATTACGTCGGGAAATACAATCAGACATGAAAAAGATGAATAACAAATGTAAAGAGCTGGAAAAGGGATGTCCCAGGACAGAGTTGGATTAAGAATGCTGGTCGGTGGCGTATGCTCCTCCAAGAGGAGTAACAGGCGCAAGTAAGATTATATTATTCAGGAAATTACTTCATCCTCACATTTCTATAGAGCTCTTAATTTGGCTATAGTTTTTATGATGGATAATATTGTTAATTCACTAGATGTCATTGTTTTCTCATATATAATTCGAAAATTGTTTTGATCAGCATCTTGTGAAAAATTCACTCTCACACAAGAGTGATTTATTTATTTTCAAGCTTATTTGATTTGGAATAATGTTATATGGAAACAAACATCAGAGTTTTTTATTTCCATCTTATTCAGTAACTGAGTGGTTTCTGCAAAACAGTAAGCTTCACTGTGTAGAAGTACCTTTGTACCAAATAATCCACTCACTTCCATCTTGAGGTAAATAATTACCTCTGAAAAAATGATGCTGATGATTGATAATAGTCAGTCGGTCCGTTATCATCAGTCTAAAAACCGGCAGCAATATCCATCAGCCCAAGTTGTAATACCAAATTAGCACAAAGAGATGAAATTGGTAAGTAAAATAACAAAATGTGACAGTTTAGTTCAACCTGCCTATGGTAATCCGTTTAGCTACATTCTGGTGAATGAAGTAACATGATAAAACGGTCTTGTTTAGATTAGGTTATTTGTTTTATAGAATGAATAAAGCTTAAATAAAACGTCACTACATTGTAAATTTGTTCCAAACACTAAAGTATAATTGACATTTTGGGGAAAGAGATTTCTCTTTTTAACTTATTTTCATAATCATTACTTATCAGATTTTAAAATATTTTTCTCATTCACTTAAATATGGCGCGAATATTTTGTTTTACAGTACACCCAGATGGTTTATGCTGTCGATTGTCTATCCCATGCCCACGTGCATATCGTCCACCCGTGCAATTTCGTGATTTTGAAATTAATCGTGATAGCATAACAAGAATTCGAAAGTTGGGTCAAGGTACATTTGGAGAAGTCTATTTAGCTAAATGGAATGGTTCAGTCGAAGTAGCAGTTAAAATGAGACTCGATCCTACAGATCGTAGTCGATTTATTGAAGAAGCACGCCTTATGCATGCTTTTCATCATCCACGTATTGTTCAACTTTTGGGCGTATGTACTGAACCGGAAGACCAACCAGTTTATATTATTACTGAATTAATGCGCAAAGGAGCTTTATATGATTTTTTACGTACAGAAGAAGGACATAAATTGACTTTGGATGATTTAATTGATATAATGGCACAGGTGTGTGTACATTTTTGTTACTATTTTAAGTTATTTGTACAACTAGTTTTCGCTTTGATTAAGTTAAGTGTTTACCATCTTCAGAAGCTAAATTATGATATATTGTTTGTTTTTGTTTACTAGCTTGCCGTCCTTGTTGTATCTGTAAAAAATGATGAGGCTAATTGGCACAATAATTAAACTGACAAAAAAGATAGTGATATGTTGAAAAATTAGATGTCACTTACTGGTGAAGATTTCATAGATTAGTGTTCAGAAACAATCTAGATGTTGATTCTTCAACTTCAACATCATAAATCTCGGGTTGCATTTCTGATACTTATTTAATAAATTTCACAGGTTGAAATCATGAATCGATTGAAGCTAGACCACCATGGAAAACCTGGAAGCACTGGACGGCCGTTTCGTCCTAGTATGGGACTCCTCAGCAGTGCGCATCCACGATCCCACCTCTCGAGACATTCGAACCCAGGACCTATCAGTGTCGCGCGCGATCACCTAATAATTAGAACACTGAGTCGGCATCCAACGGTGTTAATGTCTAACTTCAACCAATCCACGAAGTTGCGCCACCGTACACCATTGTCTTCAGTGAGTTGATATCTCACAACAAACCTGGTTGAACTCCACTGGTAACGGCTTCTCACTAGAACTCCAGGAGTTTTTCCTGAAGTCATTCACTAGTGAGCAGTTGATTATTATCAGAATGGATTTTGTGGAGAGTTTTAGAAATTTCACAGGTTGAAATCATGAGTCGATTCAAGCTAGACCACCATGGAAAACCTATGGAAAACTTATTTAATACTTGTGTAGAGTAATGACTTAGTGGTTAGTGCATTCAACTTCTAACCAATATCTCTGATATTCCAACCCCCACTTAGTATAAATAGACCTCATACAAGGTGTGACTCATTAGATAAACATGTACTTGTCATTTGGCAAATAAATCACATATATAATATTTTTCTGTTCGGGAATACAAACTTATCATATTTACGTTCGGTAGTATTATCAGTGACCGTTGTACACTGAACCCAAGGTCCGAGGGCGAAGTCGTACTGCTGACTGTACAGAGGTGTGACGGCAATAAGGTGTTTCCTTCAGACAACCAACATAACAGCGACACTTTCTTCCAACAAACGAAGGATGGGGTTAGAAAATATCGACCCTAAAAATGCACACCTCGCCTTATCCCACGGATTTCCGTCTCCGGCGATAAGGTCTCAACAAGTACGGAGCCAACACAACAGTTACTCACAAAAAGGTCGTGTGTGACCGGCCCCAGGCTGTTGTTCCTTAGACACTGCGGTCACACACTCAGGTCACTAAGACCAACTAACCCAATTCCCTTTTCACGTACCTCTAGGAAAAGCCTTCCACGGTGTGGGCAACCGGGAAGTGATAACCGCCCTCATATCTCTAATAGCGCTCAAGACTACTGCAATGAATTTAACGTACGGTCTGTTATTTTAGGATTATTGCACAGTGATAAAGTCAAATTGTCTGTCTTATTATATTTATTTGACATTAATCAATGTATTCCACGGGACGATGTATTGTAATTTATGAAATTAAAATAATATGAAAAAGGAATAATAAGGAAGATAGCATGTTACATTTTTTGTGTTAATTTATCCTAGGTATAACGATGTCAGAATAGATTACTCAATTTGAAGGTTTTTTCCTATCATAATAATCTATCAATATTTCGCTTTACGACAAAATACGAATCGTGTATTTTATATCACTCAAAAATAGCCGAAAAATATTAATCTTTGAAGTGTTCTCCCTTCACTTCACTTTAGCTTTGGATGCTCATTGGAAACATACTTATTCTTTGGTGTTTGGTGAATTTAACTTATTATATATAGTGTAATAAATAGATACAATTTTGCTTGCTTTCTTGGGAGGAAACTGTAACAGTATTTTGTTTATTTTAATTTGATAGGTGATTGATTTACAACTAGTTATCTATATTTCTTTTTGTGTGCCTTCCTACGACTGTTATTGTTTCTAAAAAAAACCCAAAGCATTACTATACTGACATTTAATGTATTAATTTATATTTTATTAGTTAAATCAATTCACGAAGTATTAGCTGATGTCATGTTTATCAATCACTTCTTAGTGCTGATTGGAATCTATCAACGAAGTTGTGATTCGACCACGAATTTGAGTGATTCATCATCACCTGAACATTTTGAGATGTTACGTGGTTGACCTACTAATCATCACTAAAGACGTGACAAACGGAACATTAGCCACGACTCAATAGTCAATCATTTGTGAACATCTCAATCCTAAAGAAGGTCAACAGTGGCTCAAATAAGTTGGATGCCCCAAAGTTCACCAGCTCTACCAAGATTACTTGTACATTTTTCTGACGAGTGCCAAATAACACGGAACATATATCCAGGTTTTTTTTGTTACCAAAATGTGATCCACTTTCGTTTCGCACAACTGCGTATTGCCACGTAAACCTTACCTGACAATAGTCTACCCTAAAAAGCCCGAATATACATGCTGATAGCTGTTTACTGAGTCACATATATAGAACATGGCCTCTAAAAGTAGGGGGTATTCGTAGGTTACTAGTGTTCGATTACAGTTGTCTTCGGAGCCTTGCTCGTATATTTATTTATTTTGATGGTAAACCAGTTGTTGAGGTTGTAAATCTTCATCGACTGAGATGTTTTGGCTACGTGTTACGTATACCTGAACATCGATTACCACGACGCGCAATGCTGACTAGTGTTGCAGACGGATGGAAGTTAGGGGCGGTCAAACAAAAACGTGGCATCAGTCTTTGAAGTCACTAACTTCTAGTATGAGCCATGTTGGTAGATGCAGACTACTTGGTTGGGGTCCACATGACTATCGTAACCAATGGTTGGAGACTGAATGACATGGCTCGAAATCAGTCTTGGTTGGTGTATGAGCATCCTGTGCAGACTGTATAGATATAGCCATTATTATACAACTTTATGTACATTAGATGACTGTGGGTGACATGGCTCAGAATCGATCACAATGGCGTAGGTGTATACACTCTTTGTCTTCCCTTAAACTGCGAGATTAAAATCGCCTTATGTCTTTCATTCTACGGACTAATTATTTCTTCCTGTACTCAGTCAGTCAGTCAGTAACAACGTAGAACTTCGTACGTACGTACATCAGTTCGTGTTGCCACACCACATTAGCACACAGATGTAGTGGTCGATTCAAATCCCGTAGTGGTAGAGGTAATAAGAGTATAAGCAGTAATCGGGAAAATTAGTGTTTGGAGATGTTATTTAAAGAGTATAATACAGTGAAATAAATTTGGGAAGAGAAAAAAAGAGACAAGGAGGAATGAGGAGATCAAAATTTGGGATAACACAAAGAGTGTATGCACCTGCGCCATTCCTGTACTATATCCTTGTATACAATCTTTTATATATTACTACCGTTGAAGTAACTACTATCGATTTGTTGTCCATCTTGCTGTGCTAATGAGGTGTGGAAACTTAGACCGATGCATATATGTGCCTGGTCCTACGTTGTAGACAACTGACTAAATGCTCGGATATTTTGGTACAATCGAATTACCAATTTTAAGGTTAGACGTAAGCATGCTGAATCAATTGACAACGTGGTTAATCTTTATTGACTGAGATGGTTAGGACGTGTATTATAAACGCTCATCCACCAACTACTTTGATGCACGATATGGCTGATGTAAGAGTAGGTTGGAAGAAAGCTAAGGATGGTCCAACTAAGACATGACATCTATCCACAAACTATTTGGTTTCAGCCATGTAGGTAAGTGCAGACTACCCAGTTAGGATCCACGTGATTATCATAACCAATCGTTACAGATTTTAAAATCGTTCGCGATGACGCAGGTGCAGTTACTCTTATTTTCCCCTACATACTATGTTTCTCATAAATTTATTTTATGATTTAACTAATTTATATTTCCCTCTCGAACTGTGTCATGAATTTTTAATCTTTTCTATTACCGTTAATCCTGTTACTACCTGTACTATTCTAGGATTCCCTCTGACAATTTCATCGCTGTGCTAATAAGGTATCGCAACTTGAACCAATATATACAGGTACCAGTTTCTGCGTTACAACTGGTTGACTGTGCATTAATGTTCACTACATTTTCTAATTAAATTAAATTCAGATTAACCTTTTTTCTTTTTGAATTTCAATCGTACAGATTGCTAGTGGTATGTCGTATTTGGAAGAAATGAATTCTGTTCACCGAGATTTACGTGCAGCTAATATCTTAGTGGATCAAGATTATTCAGTTAAAGTTTCAGATTTCGGATTGGCTAAAATTATTAGCGATGATTCTCATGCTGATCCAAGTAAGAAAAACCTGCTTTCTCGCTTGTCATTGTGTAATGGATTTATGAAACCGAAATATTTACAATTTCTTCTGAAAGATAATCACACACTGTGTTGAATTTTCACCTTTAAGATCATTGTTGAAACGTTTTTATAAGTAATACTTTAATTAATAATTAATAATTACATCTAAAAACCTAATTAATAGGGGCACTGCAATTTACTCCATTTCGAAATAACACGGATATAGATAAATAATCCCAGATTTTGAAGTTGTCCTAACAATCTCATCTTGATTGTTAACTATTTTCAATTTTCATGGACTTTATATCATGAACTGCTCGTAGACCGCCATTAAAAACCGGAGAGCATCGGAAAGCCGTTTCGTCCTAGTATAGGACTCTTCACCAATTCACACCGACAGCCACCCCCAGGCAGAGGATAGAACCTAGGACCTTCTGTTTGAGTTATGAACTTATTTCTGGTCACTGACTACTGAGACAAAACCTGATGCTATTCCACTGCCTTTCTGGCCAAACATTCTTGTTAAAGAATCGTTGAGAGTAACTACTTGGTAAAACCCATCTGTTTCGGTTTAGGCAACTTAACAATATGCCAGCCCACACGCAAATATTTTTGTGTGGCTCATACTATTTTTTGACCTCCAGTTATACCAGATTCTATGTAAACTAGATACATACGACAAAATGTTATTTTTATTATTTATTCTACCTATAGTTTATATAACAACAGAAAAGATTTTTCTTATCCTACCAGTTTAATATTTATATGAAGTTGGTTTTTTAGTTCATCTAATTGTTGAACTGATTTTTTTCTTTCCCCTAAAGATACTAAATTTCCTATTAAGTGGACAGCTCCAGAGGCGGCTTTACAGCATATCTTTAGTATAAAGTCTGATGTATGGTCGTTTGGTATATTGATGTATGAGATAGTCACTTACGGTGGAACGCCTTATCCAGGTAACCAGTGCTGTTCATCAAAATTTTTGCATTCCGTTTATAAAAAAATCGATATTTTGATTACTCGTGGCTTATTTCTATATGTTACATATTTTGATTTGTGGGAAAAGTCTTTTCTCATCGCTTACTATTATATATAGAATTTATTTATTTGGACACATAAATGTTGGTACAAAGGAGCACCGAATACACAAGTCACTTGATTTGTGTGTGGGCTGTGAATACTGCCCAGCAATAGGTTCATACACCATTTGTTCCCTCAAGATCCTGGAGCCCATGTGCACCACTGGTTTCGAATCGGGGTTTTCCAAACCCCATAGGTGAATCCTCTATATCCGCCAACCCAGTTCAAGAGCCTGACATTCGCTTTTCGTCCTCCCAATTTCGTAAACAACACCCCACCACAAGAAGGCAGTGAGTAGGACTTCCCTGACAGTGGCTGTATACGCGTGGTTATATGAGAGCATTTGGAGAGGGAGAGCGGACTCTCCCCATCCTCGGCCGTACCAGGGCATATATAAGGGCTAGTCGCAGCCAACCATTTGTCGAATATTCATGATCAGTAAGAGATTTGAATACCTAACTCCAATGATCTAATAATCAGAAATTCTTATAGCCACAATAAAGTTCTAAACTGTACAATATCCTTCTTGTCTGTTGATTAGTGAAATATAATGATACTGTGGAATTGGTTTATTCAACGCATTCGGGGTCAGGTTGTAAATGGATTGATAGTAATTTGTCCAACTGTGCTTTCTCTTAATTTTTTTGGATAATATATCTCTGGTGATGTAGAATGGATAGAATGTGGCTACCAGTGTAATGAATGACATGCGTTTCGCTCTACTCTTCAGTTGGGTGTACCTGCATCCCAGTGTTTATGTTCACCCCGGGAGTCTAACCGAGTACCGTTCACTTCAAATGCCATCGGGTTATCCACTTAGCTACTGAATCTATATGAGATTTAAATCAATTTGAAATATTTTCTCGATCATCCCGTTGTTGATATTGTCGACTGTGATTTAATCAGTCTTGGTTGGTGTATGAGCATCCTGTGCAGACTGTATAGATATAGCCATTATTATACAACTTTATGTACATTAGATGACTGTGGGTGACATGGCTCAGAATCGATCACAATGGCGTAGGTGTATACACTCTTTGTCCTCCCTTAAACTGAGATTAAAATTATTTCACATATTTCTTTCTACGAACTAATTCTTTCTTTCTGTACTACATCCTTACATAAAATCTTTCCTTTATATATTATACCATTGAGTTAACTACTTCTATGAATCCGGTGTTCGTCTTGCTGTACTAATGAGGTGTGGAAACTTGGACCGATACATGTGTGTGCCTGATCCTACGTTGTAACTGACTGACAGTAGATGAAATGTGGCTAGCAATGAAATCCAGAGCTCGTGTTTCGTCCTTATACCAACGACTCCTGATCAAATATGCATATTTTTAGTGGTTATTATTTAATGTTAGTCATTTGCCAAGTACAGATTTATGTAACGGGCTTTGAGCCAAACTTTGTATGCATCCATAAGGTCTAGTGATAAGTTGCTTGATTCTCTAAACGATTTTGAAAATTTTTCCAATTTTTCTTATCAATCATAATGTTAATGTGGAAGAAAAATGTATCATACCAAAGAAAAAATTCAAATTATATACTGTTTTCAATGAATAGGTTGAGATGGGTTTTTGGTTTTTTCTGTTTTGCAGTTGAACAATCAGTAAAGATACTAATCCGTATGAGTCTTATTAACAATCTAACTCGCAAATAATTTATTTTCCTTAATGAAATCATCAACCATCAGCAATCTTTATCGATCCGTGCGCCGTGACCTCAAGTTCACTATCTCAGTCATAATTTGTTCATCCGTATAGTTAGTACTAACTAAATAGTATTACTTAATTGTCGAATTCGGAATAGTAGTGATACGGAGTTCAAACTTACGATATTTTAAACCCAAGTTCCCTAACCATTAACTAACTCGTTGTTCTCCTCTTTCCACTTTCACACAGGTTCAAATACTAATTGTCATTGTTTAGATAATCCTTCCCCTCATATTAACAGTAACCTTCATCAAACAGTCTCCCAAAGTGTGAGCATACTAATTTGTACAATGGTTGCTCAGTTAAATTAAACTGAATTACAATGTTAACGTGATATGACAGGTAATAATTAATGCTGAAAATCAGGTCTCTTTATTTGATTGGTGAGTGAGTGACCTACGGATTCCAACCTCGTACTTATTATTAAATGTCATCTAATCACGTCTTCTTGTATTTAATATCTTTGGAGTTAATCATGTCATTTTACTCGAGGTGAAACCTACTTCTTTGCTGCCATATGGTTTTTTTTAATAATATTTCATTTGCGGGTGTGCATCGACACGTCAATCTTATGAGCAGCTATCGCTTGATCGCATAGTATGGTTTCGGTTCATCTGTCAGCCATATCATCATATTCATTCGTCAAATACTGAAACCTATCCTCCATAACAGGACCTCATCCACACAAATCATATTTTCTCACCCGTAAGACTGATAAACGTTTTTTGTTAGTTGTTACTATTTATCAGTCCATTTCGGCATTTTTCCATTCCGCTTCTGTCTATAAAGTATTTTCTCGTAACCAAAATAATTTGTACTTGGGGATGTGGGAAAATACCTATAACTTTGTTTCCATAGTCTTATTGCATGCATATGTGGTTTTGTAAAATCTGTTCATTTCTGTCCATTGTTTTTCTTCTAGGAATGACTACCCGTCAGACAGTAGCTGAGGTTGAAAAAGGTTATCGATTACCTTGTCCTCATACTCCTGAACATCCTTGTCCTGATGACTTATACAATCTTATGCGAAAATGCTGGGACGCTAGACCAGAGAATCGTCCTACATTTCGTTCTTTGTATGATGTTTTTGAAAACTGGTCTACGCACACAGAAGCTCAATATCTAGATAACTAGGATCCAATCTTCCTTTTTTCTTAATAATCATTCCTAATTCATATTAATATTTCACTACGTGTACATTTCCGGTGAAGTATTTTTCTTCCTGTGAATTCTTGGTTTTTCTTTATGTACATATTAAATATTCACTTTTTGTGGCCAGACTGTTCAACGTGTATTGTACATGCATCTGTTTATTGTTTTATTAGCTACCTCTCTTGTCATTAATTTCTCCTACCTTTGTGTTTTCTATCTACTCTTTTCTGATTTTAAAAAATGACACAGTATCCTGTTGTCTACAAATATATCCCGCGCCACTAAATTTCTATGTAATACTGATGTTTTGTGTCCCACAACTCTGTCGTACATTTATATTTATATCCTTCCAGTATTTTAAAAGTTATACTGCTTTTGCTTTCGTAGGCAAAGAAAATAGCAATCGTAATTTCCGATGAATACTTCCAATTCGCATATAGATTACTATATAGGCCTCTGCATTTTCTCAAAATCTACTCATTTTAGCTAAGTTGTGTATATCAGTAACACTGCTAATCGACTTCGTTTTATGTGTATTCTATAATTATTATTCGGTTTTTGTAAGTTATGTATATCGCATTTTTAGTGTAACTTTTTTCTAATCCTCTCAATATGCTTTTTTTTCTAGACTACCTTTAAATAATTACATTACCAAACGTTTTTGTTTTTGTGTGTACAATATGAAGAGTAAAGTTGGCAAACAATTCCAGCACACAGCAAAGCTAATTATTATAACAATGTGCATCCAGTATACCTTAGTTCTTTTCTTTCTTTTTCTAATGCCTAGTGTATATCTGATGTAACCTGAGAAGTATCACTATTCTACTGCTGTAAACATCTTATTACGAATATATATACACCTTTTTAGTTGGAAACAAACTATTCAATGTCAGTATCACTCTACCGTCGTAGAAATACCTGTAAATTCTGTGTGTGTTCCAGTCCACTTAGTGCAAGCAGAAAGCATATTCATGCGATTGTCTATATCGATTTTTATCGCTCTCTCTCTCTCTACCAGTTAATATTCGAATAAATTAATGTTTGATTCATTTCACTTAGTGGCGTTTCTTTCTCATAAGGGTGATCTCAATACTAGTTGAATTGGTTCCTGGATGAGATTCTTAATGTCAATATGTGCGCATTGTTGAATCTGTATTCATTGCTCTGATTGTTATATAAATTATGAAACTAAAAGATCCAACATACAACATTTTCGCTCTTATTCTTGTTTCATGCATCCTTTTCTAATTCTGCCACTGTTTATTGCCTATGAATTGATCAATGTATTTCGATTGCGTGTATTATTCTTAGTCTTTCCTTTTATCCAACCGAAATGCAATTTTCGTGTATATGATTTGCGTTGTCTGTTCACAACAATTATAAATAAAATAAAATGTACTAAATTCTATTCAAGTTAGTTTTTTTGGTAAATGTATTTTTGTGGAAATTAGTTTAACTTGCAGGTTATTTTGATAATTGATTAATCTCATTTGGCGTACAAACCAGGGATCGAACTCCATAATCTTAAGTTCTCGCAGTGAGTGTTTAGCCATTAGAATAACTGAATATATGTTCAAAAGCTCATCCCAAGTTCGATGCCAATTATCTCTTGTTAGCTTTGATCATATAATATGGTTAACAGCTAAGAAATTTTCATTCTCTATTTCAATTTAGATTCTATTTTTTCCATTCCTTAATATTTCTGGATATAACTTCGTAATTAATTCATAGATGAAATTCACTTTGCATGATTTGTGTGGATTTAAAGTTGAAGGTAAAAGTCAACTGAATCGTCATGTTTCTTTTTCATGGAGTTTGAATTGAGTGTAGATAAAATTGAAAATTGGATTTAGAATAATTAAAATAAAAGATTTGACGAATCCCACTGATTTCATTCGACTGTAAAGTGAATAGATAATATCAATCTAAAAAACTATTCAATAGCTGTTAGGCTCTTGAACACAAATCCCAAAATGTAGACTGAATATACTGAGATATCATTTTACTTGGTAACTTGTTAATTGGCTTCATCTATCGATATGGCTTATGTACTTTATCTTCTCAATTCAACCTAGAACGTAAACAGTAAAAAGGTGAACTTAAGTACCCCACTTATTTTTACACCAGTTTCAAATAATTGTTCCACAGTCGACTTAGTACATTTTAATTGTCTCAAAGTGAATGTATTCATTATTAGAACACATTCTCGTTATGTTTATGCGAGTATTCGTTAAAAGTCGAATAAATGATTTGACAGATATTAAGCACCAAGCCCATAGAAGATATCAAATATAAAAATTATATTTGATTAATCTGAATGACTAAAATGTAAATAATTGCGATATTCCATGTGGTGAATTTGCCTGAACTTCTACAGGAAGAAATAATGTATTTCATTGTTTTCCGCAGAGCATTTAATTTCGTGGACCTTCAGTCTCGCACATGAACGCTTAACCTCTAAACCACTGAGCCGGCATCCAACGGTGTTACTCTCTAACTTTAATGAATGCACGATAGTGAACGACCATCTTTCATTGTTATTTGTTAGTATCTTCCTCACGCGTGACACGGTTTAGCTCCTTTGGTAACGGCTTCTCACTAGAATTCTACAATCCCTTATCGGAAGAGGCACTCTATTTCTTGAACAAATTTTTCAGACTACTTGTTTTGTTAGTTTATTTTTTGTTCTATTTTCCCTTTATTTTGTCATGTTTTACTAACTGGTTTATTTTTAACCTCCATTTATGGGTTATCTTTCCCTTATTCACGTTAACACTAGTCATCAAAGTGGCAGTTGATGAGATTGCTAGCTATTAGTGAAATTACGAACCGACCAAATTAAGATAACCATTGAAAACTTGGAAGCACTGGACGGCTGCTTTGTCCTAGTAAATATTCAAAACCTCACTACAGGAAATCGAACCCAGCACATTTAATCTTTCGAGCTATCATCTAGACCACTGAGCAGGGATCCAATAGCGTATTATTCAGTCACTTGGGGATTGTGATAAGAGCATATGTAGTATAGGCATACATTAGAGTGATTCTTTAAGTAGCTACAATAAATTTTGCTTTCATTCCTAACCAATCAGGAAACATTGTTGTAATTAAATAGTTTGTATGAAAAAGCTGGTAATATAAAGGTTATACATATTTTACATGACTAATTCATTCAATGAAGTTTCCGAATGTTTTCATATCTGTACAAGGAGAAGACAATAGTATGTAAATTCATCCGTGTTACAATGTAACATCTACCTTGTCAAACGCTTGTGAAGATGTAAATAGTAGGGTTTCTTTTTGAGTCCACACATTATTTCCGGTTAGATTTTTGTTTTAAAAATTTGATTGATTTGCGTGCTATTTACAATCTAAATGAAAACGGCTGATGATTTGATAAGCGCAGAGCAATCGTTTTCGCTCCATGATCACCAAAGTAAATTTTTTTTATAATTTCAAACTTTCTGAGCAGCAGACAAAGTATTTCTACTGTTCACTGTATTACATATAAAATGAAGTACGGGGATAACCATCCCCTTTTCAATTGTGATATGAATGTGCAATGTCTAACATTTAGTGTGCCAGTACTGCATATATGAGTCAAAATTTTACTGGGAAATTCATTTTAGTCATCTCAGACTATCTACATTTCTTATGTGAACACCCCAGAATAGCTCATTTCAATTTACCGGATAAAAATATAAATGAGGTGAAATTTAGAACTTGAAATGGGATTTTCAGTAAAAATTATACTCTTACCTACATCATTCACTCACTGAATGGACGAAAAAATTCTGGATATAGGTTATATATTGAACATAAAGAAGTACATGCGATAAAAATCCACTAATATGTGTCCTCCACCGTAAGTCGTCATTTTTGAATTTCGCGCAAAAAATTAACAAAAACGTATGCCGATCCCGATTGGCTCGTACCCATACATCATACTTTTAGCTTATTCTTTACATGAGTTTACACTTAAACTTCTGTAACAGAGTAAATAATAAGTAAGGCTGAACTTCCTAAACTGTTTAACTCGAACTCATTATTCATGTTTTTGATGTATTACTAAATACAAATTTTGTATCCTTGTGTTCTTCTGCTTATAATCTTTGGTTTGACGCAAAAACTATTGTCGTTTATAATACATTTTGATCAGAATGGTGTTTATGGAGATTGTAGTAAATTTAATAGTTGAATTCATGAGTCAATGTAAGTTAGACCACCATGAAAACACTGGATGGCTGTTTCGTCCTAGTGTGGGACTCCTCAGCAGTGCACATCCACGGTCCCGCACGTGGGATCCGAACCCAGGACCTATCAGTATCTCACGCGAGCGCTTAACCTCTACACCACTGTCAACATCTAACTTCAATCAATCCACAACTTAGTGATTAACCTACAAACAGCGAATCTGGGTGATGCGGATTCGGATACCACTAAAAGCATCGGTCTCCGCAAGGCTACAAATAGGCCTCATTGACAATTTACAACTACCACGAAACCCGATTACGTTTAACGACATAACGAAATGACTTCAACTACTTTTTGGTTAGCTGATCAATTATTTTCGTCGTGCGTTTACGTTTATCAGTCATGCACTACATAACTGTTCATCAACTCAGATATCTACTCTTCATATTTTCCAATACAGAAAATGAGATTCCACAAGGTGTAAAGTATTGGATCCGAACCGCACTAAAGCTAAACGTAGAGTGAACAATTATGAAAGAGTAAACACAATTATGAATGAATGTACAGAATGGTATCAAAATTGAAGACTTGTTGGGGGATAAAGAATAACATATATTAAGACAATTCGGAGTCATATCACACTACAGTTTGTGATGTGTATATCATGCAACATCTGTTCGTTGGCATATATTTGTGTGCCTCAGGGTTATATAATCGGGTGAAGTTGGTGGAAACTGTATGTATATGCTTGTATTTGGAGCTGAGATAAAAGAAAATCGAATTACTTAAAATTGAGATTGAATGTAATTCGGAAAACACCAAACACACACAAATCTAAATTCAAGACAATCTGGTAACAGGAACAAAAATACTAAAGGTGAAGTTTTGGATTATTCAAAATATCCCATACTTCTATTTTTAATTACTTAACAAAATACATTTATGCGTTCAGAACCGGTATCTCTGTCATCTACCCATCATTTATTTTACTGTTTTAAAGGCCACTTACAAGCTATTCGTACTGCGGGATTGTACAATTAACAGTGTATTTTATATAGACTGTAAAATTCTCTTTTCTAACCGATTACATGTTTTCCCAACGCTTTAAAGGTCGTTTTTCTTGTGATCGTTAGTTGTACCCTGTCATATCGTGATTCTTGTACGCTTTCGATCTTCGCTTTATTTAATGATGTAATACAGCATTTGATTATGATAATAATTCGGACTGACTATACGAAACAAAATAAATTGTTTGGATGGCCCAGAATATATTAAACTTAATTAGCAAATTACAAGAATATAATAAGGTATGGTTTATGGTATTCTTCCTTGTCTAGTATTTCCATAAATAGTCCCCTTGACTAGACATAAATCGCGTTAAGAATAAACAAAAGCAAGACTTATTCCAGTGAACTGAAGAAAAAACACTGTAGTGAAGGTAATAGTTTATATTAATTTACAAAAGTAGCTTCCGTAAACTGATAGAACGTCGAAGAGCTTGAACCATTCTTAAAATTACCCCGTGATTTTAAAATCACTTTTTAGCCAATGAACAGAGTTTGCATGAATCAAACAGAACCCATTAGGACTTTAATGATTCTAAAAAGTTATTGGATATTTAAAGACTTATTATCAGTTCCACAATGATAATATTGTAGAAGAGGGATCACTACATATCTTCATAAATTTGAATGCGAATGTATTATCGCTAGGCGTTCCTTTCTGCACTTTATTCATACTCATAAGGTTGTATAGAAAATTCATCATCGCCTACCAATCAACGCACTGAAAAGATGAACCCTTATTTTAACAAAATCCTATGAAGAAGTCATGTCTATAAATTGTTACCTATATTAGCACCACTACTTTGTCAGCCCGTATTCTATTTAATGCATCCTACTAGTAAAATTATTTTTTTAAAGGTTTATTATAAACAACAGGAACTGATTAGTTCACGTGTTAGGTAAGTTAAAAAGTCCTGAGAACTATATCTGGGTATTTCTACTGCAGATTTTATATGAAGAAAGATAAAATCATCTACTTTCCAGAGAGTCGTTTTCTGATTTTTGATTGGCTCATCCACATACTCTTTTGCTGAAATTTCTGTCACTTTGATCAGTTCACTAGTTCCTATCGCTTGAAAAAGAACCAATCACTATATTTAGACTTGCTCTAACATGCAATCGTTAGGATTATATCCCAATAAAATCTT